TCCCGCCGGATACTTCCTCCAAATTCAGACTTGAGGAGCCCAAAAGTGACGACAGTTACAGGAATCCGATGGCCCGCTTGGATTAGTAACATGATTTGCGGGCCCCATAGGGAGGGGGCTCCCGCCTGAGACTTCCTCACAATTCACTCACAGATGAGGTTCCCGCTTCATATTTCTTCCAAATTCAAACCTGAGGATCCCAAAAGTGACGACAGTTACAGGAATCCGATGACCCGCTCGGATTAGTATCATGATCTGCGGGCCCCATAAGGAGGGGGCTCCCGCCTGAGACTTCCTCACAATTCACTCACAGACGAGGGTCCCGCTTGATACTTCTTCCAAATTCAGACTTGAGGAGCCCAAAAGTGAGGACAGTTACAGGAATCCGATGACCCGCTCGGATTAATAACATGATCTGCGGGCCCCATAGGGAGGGGACTCCCGCCTGAGACTTGTTCGCAATTCACTGACAAACGAGGCTCCCGCCGGATACATCCTCCAAATTCATACTTGAGGAGCCCAAAAGTGACGACAGTTACAGGAATCCGATGACCCGCTCGGATTAATAACATGATCTGCGGGCCCCATAGGGAGGGGGCTCCCGCCTGAGACTTCCTCACAATTGACTCACAGACGAGGCTCCCGCTTGATACTTCCTCCAAATTCAGACCTGAGGAGCCCAAAAGTGACGACAGTTACAGGAATCCGATGACCCGCTCGGATTAATAATATGATCTGCGGGCCCCATAGGGAGGGGGCCCCCGCCTGACGCATCCTCACAATTCACTCACAGACGAGGGTCCCGCTTGATAATTCTTCCAAATTCAGACCTGAGGAGCCCAAAAGTGACGACAGTTACAGGAATCCGATGACCCGCTCGGATTAGTAACATGATCTGCGGGCCCCATAGGAAGGCTCCCGCCTGAGACTTCCTCACAATTCACTGACAAACGAGGCTCCCGCCGGATACTTCCTCCAAATTCAGACCTGAGGAGCCCAAAAGTGACGACAGTTACAGGAATCCGACGACCCGCTCGGATTAGTATCATGATCTGCGGGCCCCATAGATAGGGAGGGGGGCTCCCGCCTGAGACTTCCTCGCATTTCACTCACAGACGAGGCTCCCGCTTGATACTTTCTCCAAATTCAGACTTGAGGAGCCCAAAAGTGACGACAGTTACAAGAATCCGATAACCCGTTCGGATTAGTAACATGATCTGCGGGCCCCATAGGGAGGGGGCTCCCGCCTGACGCATCCTCACAATTCACTTACAGACGAGGCTCCCTCTTGGTGGATGATGGTGGTGGGATGATGACGACGGTGTTTGATGATGATATATGATTGATGATGATGATGGTGATGATGATGATGATGATGATGGTGGTGGTGGTGATGATGACGACGTGATGATGATGATGGTGGTGATGATGAGTGCTGGTGGTGAGTGATCGTGCGATTCTGATGGTAAATGGTGGTGATGATGATGGGGACGAAGTGGTGAGTCAGCGAGTAGTGATGATGATGATGATGATGATCGTTCGATGCCGATGATGGTGAGTGATCGTGCGATGGTGATGGTGATGCTGATGGTGATGAAGATGATGAGTGGGGAGTGATGGTGATGGTGATGATGATGCGGAGGAGGAAGCAAAGAGGAGCAGAGGAGAGGGAGGAGGACGAGAGATCCTGCGCGGAGGGTGTGCAGAGAAAACAAAAACCCCACTTAGGATGTGGGGAACAATAACCCCACTTAGGATGTGGGGAAAAAAGACGCGTGAGGAGGCCGAGATGGCAGGCCAAAATGGCCAGGCGCCCGACGGCAACGCGGGAGTACACGGGGCGGCCCCAGCACCCCCAGCGAGGCCCACGAGCGCAAGTGGGCGTGAGAGGAGGCCAAGATGGCCAGCCAGTTGGCGGGCCAGAGTAGCAAGGCGCATGGGTGACCATACGCCGCGCAAAGGTAAAGGCCACGGGCGCAGCCACGCGAGGGGGGTGCCACTGTGGGCGCGCCCCCCAACTGAGCGTGGCATGCTAGACATATTGGCAGGAACTACTACTACTACTACTACTACTACTACTACTACTACTACTACTACTACTACTACTACTACTACTACTACTACTACTACTACTACTACTACTACTACTACTACTACTACTTACTACTACTACTACTACTACTACTACTACTACTACTACTACTACTACTACTACTACTACTACTACTACTACTACTACTACTACTATACTACTACTACTACTACTACTACTACTACTACTACTACTACTACTACTACGACTACTACTACTACTACTACTACTACTACTACTACTACTACTACGACTACTACTACTACTACTACTACTACTACTACTACTACGACTACTACCACGGCTACTACTACCACACCTACTCCTACTACTACTACTACTACTACTACTAGTACTGCTACTACTGCGACTACTACTACTACTACTACTACTACTACTACTACTATCACTACTACTACTACTACTATTACTACTACTACTACTACTGCTACTACTACTACTACTGCTACTACTACTACTACTACTACTACTATACGATTATTATTACTACTACGACTGCTACTACTACTACTGATACTACGACTACTACTAATAATACCCCTACAACTACTACTACCACTACCATTACTACTACTACTGCTGCTGCTGCTACTACCACGCTTACGACTACTACTACTACTACTACTACTACTACTACTACTACTACTACTATTACTATTACTACTACTACTACTTTTACTACTACTACTATTACTACTACTACTACTACGACTACTAATACTACTACTACTACTTCTACTACGACTACTACTCCTACTCCTACTACTACTACTAGTATTCCTACTACTACTACGACTACTACGACTACTACGACGACTACTACTACTACTTCTACTACGACTGCTACGACTACTACTACTACTACTAATAATAATAATACCACGGCTACAACTACTACTACTACTACTACTACTACTACTACTACTATTACTACTACTACTACTACGACTACGGCTACGACTACTACTACTATTACTACTACTACTACTGCTGCGACTACTACTAGTACTTCTACGAGTACTACTCCTACTGCTACTACCACTACTACGACGATTTCTTCTACGACTACGATTACGACTACGACTACTAATACCACTACTACTACTACTACTACTACTACTACTACTACTACTACTACTACTACTACTACTACTACTACTACTACTTCTACTACTACTACTACTACTGCTACTGCTACTACTACTACTACTACTACTACCACCACTATTTCGACGACGACGACGACTACTACTACTACTACTACTACTACTACAGTTACCACTGCTGCCACCACTTCCTATTCCTACCGCGAATACCCCTTTTCTTATTTCTTGCCCTCCTCAACCTCATCTGCCACTTCCGCCCCCTGTATGGGCTGGGGGGACAGGGAGCAGCAGGCATGCACGAGTTTCCAAGGAGCAGCGCACCGTGAAGGCGAAGGATCAGGAGCACGAGGAAGAGCAGCGGCAACAGCAAGAGCAGCACAAGCGCAGACTTGGGGACAAGAAAAACAAAAACGAGGCCGAAGACGACGATGACCAGGGCGGCTGCCACGACGACGACGAGTGGAAAGTGAGCCAATGCTCGCCCATGCATCTATGCACCGTCTGCATCTCGCAGACCAGCAGCCAGCATCGCATCAAGTATTGATCGATTGACCAGTGTGGTTCCACAGGCACAGCACCACCACCACACTTAAGCAAGATTGGCCAGCGCTGACCCCAAACAGTGCCATCTTGCGCTCTGACTGTCCAAGTTCTGTCGCGCAAGCTAGGTGTTGAAAGCTACATGCATGGTGCAAGCTGTATGGTGGAGGCCATGTGGTGAAGGCTCTGCGGTGCAGGTTATTTGGTGCAAGCGATGAATCGCAAGCTACATGGTGCAAGCTATGTGGTACGATGTGTGCGCATGTGTGTGGGGCAAGCTATGCGGCGCAAGCTATGCGGTGCAGGCTATGCGGTGCAGGCTATGTGGTGCGAGCTACGCTGTTCAAGCTGAGTGGTGCAGGCTGCGCGGTGTGAGCTGTGTGGGGTAAGCTGTGCGGTGCGGGGGCGGACGGGACCGTGGCCGCGGGGGCCCGCAGACGGACGCAGGTCCTCGAAAGCGAGGCAAGAGCTTCTAGGTGCAAGCACTGTCTGGGAGAGAGGGGCCGCAGAGCCCCGCCAAAATTCACACATGTCAAATTAGCATTAAATAGAAAAAAACAGAATCGCAACCATTTATAAATAAAAGCCTTGCTTTTTTAAATCCTCATATACTTGCCTTAAGTCTATATTTGGAGCATTAAACGTGGTGTGCGTGATCGTCGCATCGGAAGCGGGGAGGCGGGGTGTGCGCAGACCGGTGGTTCGGGTGTGATTGCTCTTTATGGGCAGGCCTTGCACCGAAGCCTGTATGACTACATCCCTCCCTTCCTTTTTGTCCGCTCCTCCTGCGCCTCCTCGTCCTCCTCCATGTCGTCCTCCTCCTCATCCTCCTCGTCATCATCAGCAGCATCATCATCGTCATCGTCATTGTCACCATCGTCGTCATCATAATCCTCCTTTTCTTCTTCCTCTTCCTCCGTCTCGGTGCCCTCATCATCCTACTTGTGCACCCTATTCTTTCCCTATCGTCACATCCCTTGGACAACCCTCCGAAGGACCCCGATGGCGGGAAGAGCGAGCGAGCGTGCTATCAGCATGAGACGCCGTTGCACGTAGCCTTTTTCCTCGCCCTCCTCATGTGCTCATTATGTTCATCCCCTGTTCCCTCTTCACCCCTCTCCTTGCCGCGTCACGTCTTCCCCCCGTCCCCATACCATTCCTCTTCCTCCCACTTCTCCTCCTCCTCCTCCTCCTCCTCTTCATCATCATCATCATCATCGTCAGCATCATCATCCGCCTTCCCAGTACAAGACGCCGCTGCATTTGGCCATCGACGAAAAGGCGCCGCAGGAGATGGTGGAACTGTTGTTGTCTTCCAAGGCTGATCCAAACACAGGAGCCCGTCGTTGTTTCTTTTGCAAAGGCCCGGGAATCCAGAGTTCCAGAGCTCAAGCACAGGAGTCCAAGAGGAGGAGGAGCAGGAGGGAAGCGGGAGGCGGAGGAGGAGGCGAAGGTGAAGGTGAAGAGTGGGGAGGGGGAAGGGGGAAGGGGGTAGGCGGCAAAAGGGCGAGGAGAGGATGATGAAGAAGATCAGCAGCAGGCAGCAAGCAGGGGAAGGATGAGGAAAATGAGGAGGAGCAGGAGGAGCAGCACCGCGTTCCCGTCCACCCGGTTCCCACAACCTACCATTCCACATGGTTCTTCCTTCCTTCTCTCTCTCTCTCTCTCTCTCTCTCTTTTTCCGTCTCCTGGCTCTCACCCTTCCCCGTTCCCAGTCCCCCATCCCTGTCCCTCACCCCCTTGCCTCCCGCTCCCCTGCCCCCCGCTCCCCTCCCCAACCAACCCTCCGCACCCGGCGCCGCCCTGCTTGCCGTGCTCGCCCGAGAAGAGAAGCGGCCGCAGGCAACATCGAGATAGGGCTGTCCTCGTCGTATTCGGAGAGTCGACGCTCCGCCGTCGGTTCATATTTCCTCCTGACCTTACACCGCACTCACATCTATACCCCTGGGTGGGTGTATGTGCGGCCGTTTTTGCGCTGTCATGTGCGCGCATGTGCGCGGCATGTGCCAGTCATGTGCCAGGCTTGTGCGGTCCTTTTTGGATGGACTTCCTACTGTGCACGTCGTGCCCGGGCATGTGCGGGGGCATGTGCGCTGTGTTTTGATGTGTCCATCATGCGCACATGCACGCACAGTCCGACGCACATGCGCGCACATGCCTGCACATGCGGGAGGTGTTCGAGAATCGCATATCTGTCATCGGCACATGCACGCACATGCCTGTGCAACCTCTCTTCGGGAGGCCGCGCGGGCCCGCACATGCACGCACATGCGGTGAAGCGCGCGGGCGCACATGCGTGCACATCCCAATGCACATGCACGCTCATGCCCTAGGAGCTGTCTGGGACCCCTGTGCCTCCAATGCCTCCTGGCCTTCGCAGAGCTAACCTGGGGCGTGCCAGGGCTTCCTGAAAGAGTTTGTTGTGCGTTTAGACTCGCCCGCTGCTGGCGGGGGCGGTTCTTCGCCCGGTTCGTGAGCTGGCGGTGGCGCGCCCGCCTAATAAAATACTCTCCCGCGCGCCTTCTCAGCTCGGCCGGAGAAGCAGGGATGGGGGGGGGGAGGTGGAGGGGGGGGGAGGAGGGGGGGCGGAGGAGGCGGGCGCCCCCGGCTCGGCCGGCCCGCCTGCCTGTTCGGCTCGGCCAGAGGAGAGGAGGAGGAGGAGGAGGAGGAGGAGGAGGAAGAGGAGGAGGAGGAGGAGGAGGAGAGAGGTGAGAGTTGCGAGGATGTCTCAGGCGAAAGTGGCTTGACGGCCCGAGCTCAGGGAATCTCGGAATCGCTGGCCTGGCTCGGCCACCGGCGAGCTCGGCCTGTGCGAATATTGTGCGTACCTGTGCGGGGCATGTGCGGGACGTGCAAGAATGCCGGGGCTGGCGTTCGTCTCCGGACGCCGGCGCGTTCGCGTCCGGCCGGTTCCGCGTGAGACGTCGTCGGCAATCTGGAGGCCGACGTGCTTTGACATGAAGTGATCTGGCCACCTTCGCCCGAGCCATCCTCGCAACTCTGGTCTCGGAGATGCCCTGCCCCATGGTGGCCCGGCCACTTTCGCTTGAGACATCCTCGGAACTCTGGGTTTCGAGACACCCTGAGCTGAGGTGGTTCGATCACTTTCGCCTGAGACATCCTCGCAACTCTGACCTCAGAGATCTCCTGCCCCATGCTGGTCAGGCTACTGTCGCCTGAGACATCCTCGCAAGTCTCGATTCCGATATGTCCCGAGCTGAGGTGGTCAGCCACTGTCGCCTGAGACATCCTCGCAACCCTGATCTCAATGATGCCCTGCTCAATAGTGTCTCGGCCCCTTTCGCCTGAGACATCCTCGGAACTCTGGGTTCCGAGACGCCTTGAGCTGAGGTGGTTAGACCACTTTCGCTTTAGACATCCTCGCCCGAGATGCCCTGAGTTGAGCTGTTCAGGCCACTTTCGCCTGAGACATCCTCGCAACTCTGACCTCAATGATGCCCTGCTCCATAGTGTCTCGGCCTTTTTCGCCTGAGACCCTCGCAACTCTGGGTTCTGAGATGCCCTGAGCAGGTGGTCAGGCCAGTCCTGCCTGAGACATCCTCGCAACTCTGGGCTCCGAGATGCCCTGGGCTGAGGTGGTCAGACCACTCTCGCCAGAGACATCCTAGAAACTCTGACCTCAGAGATCTCTTGCCCCATGGTGGTCAGGCCACTTTCGCCTGAGACATCCTCACAACTCAGACCTCGGAGGTGTCCTGCCCCATGGTCGTCTGGTCACCTTGACCAGCGACATCCTCGCCACTCTGGTTTCCAAGATGCCCTGCCCCATGGTGATCCGGCCACGCTTGCCTGATTGCGAAATGCCCCGAGCTCAGGTGGTCAGGCCACTATCGCCTGCGACATCTCTGCGGCATGTGCGGGCATGTGCGTCTATGCTTTCAGAGTTTTGCTTGACCGTGCATTCGACTGTGCGTCGGACGGTGTGGCATGTGCGCGCATGTGCGGCAATGCTGTTGAGGCTTTTGTATATTTGTATGGGCATGTGCATGCGACTGTGCGGCATGTGCCTGCATGTGCGGCCCCTTCCGGACCACAATTTCAAAGTGAGCACTATAGAAGTGAGCGCTATAGAAGTGAGTCCGGTGTACCCCTCGTCACCCTCCGCGTGTGTGTGTAAGTGTGTGTGTGTGAATGTGTGTGTGTGAATGTGTGTGTGAATGTGTGTGTGAATGCGAATGTGTGTGAACGTGTGTGTAAATGTGTGTGTGAATGTGTGTGTGTGAATGTGTGTGTGTGAGAATGTGTGTGTGAATGTGTGTGTGTGTGAATGTGTGTGTGCGTGTGTGTGTGAGTGTGTGTGTGTGAGTTTCCTTGTCTTGGTTCATGCTGTTCGTAGTGCTACTTCGTCCTGCTGGTTGAACCCTGAGAGGCCCCTGGCCGAACCACGTTCCTGGACCATCCTGACAGCTTGTGGCTGTGAAACCGAAAGGCTCAAGCCGCTAAGCGGACGGAGGAGGCGGTACGTTTCTAAACTCGAGGTTTCGTTGCGGTATCGCTGACATTATCCCCGCAAGCTTCTGGTATAGTCACAGGGACGGGGGCCGAATCCTTCTCTCAAGCACGTTTTCTTGGTTTCTCTCTCTCTCTCTCTCTTTCTTTCTCTCTCTCGTCCTCTCCCTCTCTCTTTCTCTTCCTCTCTCTTTCTCGCTCTCTATCGCAATATACATGTATGACATATATATATATATATATATATATATATATGTATATATACATGTATATGCATGTATTCGCAGAGACGGACAGACAGACAGACAGACAGACGGACAGACAGAAAGGCAGACGTATATACATACGTACATACGTACATATATGCATACATGCATACAGACAGACAGACATACATACATACGCACATACATACATACACACACATGCATGCACCTACATACATACATACACGCATACACATAAACATACATACAAACATACTTAAATTCATAAGTACATACACAAAGACCTGTAGATCGACAGATGTGCAGATAACCAGATATGTGCCTGTGTGTATGAAATCGTACGCACATACAGACAAGACATAGGTGTGACGATGTGTTCACCTCACACTAGAGATGTACGTACACACACGTGTACATCCACATTCCCAAAAACAGTGCCTGCATCCAGGGGCCCTCGCTTGTGCTCTAAGGCAGCTGGGCTCTGGTGCGAGTCTGGCCGGCTCGTCACCGCCCGCTGCCACCTTCCGCCGCCGCCACCTGCACGGGGCCCCGGTGGCGGTCCCGTCGGCTCGCCGCCGCCCGCCACCGCCAGTCGTCGCCGCCTGTTGCACAGGGCCCCGATGATCGGTCCGAGCCGGCACGTGGCCGCACGTCGCCCGCCTTCGGTCGCCGCCACTTGCATTCGTCCATTCGCACTCGTCCACTCGCAAAGCATACTCCGCATTCCATAATAAAGTCGGGGGGGTCACATTTGGGGGGGGTCTGATTTGAGCTGTCTTGGAAGGTTCGGGGGGGTCTGGGCAAAGGGCCGCCCTTTCATGGATGGTCTGGGAGGGTCTAAAACTTCTCGTCTGGGAGGGTTGAGACCCCCTCCCTTTTACTACGAAATCTGGAGTAGCAAATCTCTCCGCAGCATAGGACAGCTATCTCGTCTCAGCACAGCTTGGCTGAGCACGGCACAGCAGAGCGCAGCACAGAAGCGCATAGCATAGCATAAAATAGCATGGTGCAGCAAAAGCGGTGCGACTTAAGATTGCACTGCATCGGCTGCATTGCGGAGATTGCCCCATAATGGTTGGCATTGCACAGATTGCATTGCACATATTGACTTGTGTATGTTGCATCCCACGTAACACATCGCAGAGCATGCTAGAATACAGTGTTTGGAGTCCACGCTGGCTAGCATTGGCGAGCTTTCGGAGGGCAAGTCTGACAGTACGATAGGCAAGCCAGATGCAAACGACACCCCGCAACAAGAAATATGATGGACAACGAGAAATCGTGTTGCGACGACGAAAAGTAGCATCAATTCGATCGTCCTCATAATTATCAGCATCATCATCATCATCATCATCATCATCATCATCATCATCATCATCATCATCATCATCATCTGCATCATCATCTGCATCATCATCAGCCTCGTCCTCATAATCATCATCACCACTATCGCCGTCATCCGCATCATCATAGTCATCAGTATCATCGTCAACATCTTCTGCATCCCCATCATCATCATCGTCATCTTCGTCGTCAACATCAGAATCGTCATCATCATAGTTTTATCCCGAGCATCATCATCAGGACTAGCATCAACATCATCATCGGACTCATAATCATCATTTTCATCATTGTCAGCATCATCATCATCATCACCATCATCATCAGCACCATCCTCATCATCGACACCAGCATCGTCAGCATCATCAGCATCATCGTCAGCATCATCCTCATGATTACCAGTATCAGTATCAGTACCATAATCATCATCATCGTCAACGTCATCATCACCATCACCATCTTCGTCATCAGCATCATCATCACCACCATGATCACCACAATCACCATCATCACCATCGTCAGCATCACCACCATCATTTTCATCATCAATGGCATCATCACCCGACTCATCATCATCATCATCATCATCATCATCATCATCATCATCATCATCATAATCAGAATCATCGTCATCATCATCATCGACAGCATCATCATCGACATCATCATCATCGTCATCATCACCATCACCATCATCGTCATCAGCATCATCCGCATTATCACCATCAGCATCACCACCATCACCATCATCATCATCATCATCACAATTATCACCATCATCATCAGCACCATCATCTCCATCAGCATCATCAGCATCAGTATCACCATCATCAGTTTCCTCAGATCATCCGCATCATGGGCACCATCATCGGCAGCATCAACATCCCCTGCTCATCACCATCACCATCATCGTAATCATCACCACCATCATCCTCATCACCACCGTCACCATCAACACCATCACCAGCATCATCATCGTCACCAGCGTCATCATTATCATCATCATCACCACCACCACCACCGCCATCCTCCTCATCATCACCATCAACAACAACATCATAATCATGAATCATGACCATCATCGGCACACCACCATCGTCAGCATCAGAATCCCCTGCTCATCGCCCGATCCTCGTCCTTCCCTGATCACCTCGCCGAGCCAGGCCCCTCTCAGGAGGAAAGGGGTGGCGCCGGCTCTGATGGTCGCGGCGCGCTCTGGCGACGGGGCGCTGGCCGCGGCGCTGATCAACGCCAGGGCGAACCTGGATCTGGCGGCCCTCTTCGATGCTCGATGATACGGTCAAGAGGCTGGAGTAAGGACCGGTTGGGGTTCGATGGGGACTTGCTTTTCCTCAGGTCATTCCGTGGTAGTTCCTCCAGCCGTCCTCGTGCATCCAGGCGCTCGGGGCGCCCCAAAGGGGCTTCGTTCCTTGTCTTGCGTTCCTTATTTCAGCAGCTTTTCTGAAGTTGCTGCGGACGGGAAGTTTTCGGCCGAGTTCGGACTTCGGGGGCCCTCCTCGATGCTCGATGCCCAAGCGGCGCTCCTCGATCCTCGCTGCTCGATGCCCACGCGGTCCTCTTCAAGCCTCGATGCCGACGCTCGATGCTCGATACCCAGGCGGCCGGCAAAGCGAACCTGGATCTGGCGGCCCTCCTCGGGTGGGAAGGCTTCGGGCTGCGCGCATGGACAGGCCCCTAGTAGGTACACAGGCCCAGCTGGTCTCAGCAGGTTCCCCGAGTTACCCCGGCTGGCCTCAATGGGCCCCCAGTAGTCTGGGGCGGTCTCAACACCCAGGCGGCACCTCTGGCGGCGACCCAGGGGAGAGGCGTTGAGACCGCCCCAGACTACTCGGGGGGCTGTTGAGGCCAGCTGGGACTACTCGGCAGCCTGTTGAGGCCAGCAGGGACTACCCGGCGGGGCTATCTGAGTGCAACCCAGACTTTACCATCTTTGATGTTCGATGCCCGATGCTGCGGACCCAGACAAGCTCGCGTCGTGAAACAACCACGACGGAGGTTTTTTGGCCGATTTGAGCCTCGGAAGCCCCCACCGGGGCCCAGGACTTCCAAATATCAGTTCGGGATGAAAGATTGGTCTTGGGGAAGGGGTTCAGACTTTGGGGACCCCTTAGTGAAAGAATCAAGAAGTCGAATGGACGAGTCTGCCTCTCGACTAGCAGCCTGGAACCCCTCCACCCCAGACAAAAGCCAGGGGGGGATGGAGCAGCTCTTCACACGGTGGAAGATAGGGCATCGACGAAGCGGCGGAAACGACGGAGGGCATTCCTCCCGCTCCTCCACATCCTCCTCCTCCTCCTCGCACTGCATCGGACAAGCCATTGCCACATGCACTCGCCGTCGCGTAACCGCACGCCTTCGAGTCGGCACTCTGCACCCCGCTTCCTCCAAGGGTGTTCGCGGCTCGGTTCGGTCTTTCGGTCGGTTGATGCGTCCTTGGCGCGCCGTGGCGTCCTTCTCGGCTGCTTCCAGCAGATTCGGTTTCGGCCGATTTCTACTTCGCTGTCGGCTCGGACGGTTTTCGGTTGCGCTTTCGTCGTAGACCGTCCTCCTGGCAGTCTCTCCTCGATGTCGGCCTCCCGAAGCCCGCTCCGGAGCCGGGGACCATCAAGGGCGAATCCAGGACGAAACGCTTCAGGAGGGAAAAAAAAAACACGCAGACACAATTCATCGTCGACTCCCAGGAAAAGATGGGAAAATATGGGAGGTGGGGGGGAGGGCAGGAACCCAGAAAGCATGGGAAAATATAGAGAATCCTGTCATTCGTGCCTATGTATCTGTATGCCCCAGGGCCCCTTCAACGCTCCCCCCGGGGCAGGGGCCGAGGCCTCCTCGGCCCGGCAGCCCCCCGGCGCAGCGATCTAGAGCGCTGGGACGTGCGCCGCACGCCCTCGCCTCTCGTCCCCTCCGCCCTCTCCTGCCCCCGCTGTGCCCTCGGCCTCCGCTCCCGTGCCCTGCCCTCTCCTGCCAGGCCCTGCCCTCCCATGCCCTGCCTTTCCAGTCCGGTCTCTCCCCTCTCTCCCTCCCTCCCTCCGGCCGTCTGCGGTCCTCAGTCCTCCCTCCCGCCGGTTCTGGCTCCCTTCCCCCCATCTTCCCCCTCTCGCTCCTTCCTTCCCGTCCCCCCTCTCTCCCGCCCTTTCTCCCCTTTTCTCCCTCCCCCTCTGCTCCATTCCCTCTCCCCTCCCGCCGTCCCTGCCATACCTCCCTCCCCTCGCTGCCTCGTTCTGGCACTTTGTTTGTTGTTCCCTCTCTCTCTCTCTCTTTTTCTCTCTCTCTTTTTTTTGTCTCTCTCTCTCTCTCTCTCTCTCTCTCTCTATGTATATATATATATCAGAGCGTGAATTACCTACCCCGCTTTCGCTTCCAGGCAAAACCAAGTCATACCACGCGCCTCCTCGTCAAGCGGCCTGACCAGCGCAGGCCGTAGTTTGGCGTCGCTTGGTATCTTTTGGAAGCGAGGGTGGTCAAAACGAGGTAGGTTCTTTTGCGCTTTAGTATATGTATATATACATGTGCATACAAACATACAGACATATAGATATACATACATGCATACATACATACATGCATGTATACATACATACATACATGCATGCATACATACATACATACCTACATACACATACATACATACATACATACATACATACATATATACATACATACATACATACATACATACATACATATAAACATACATACAAACAAACAAACAAACAAGCAAACAAACAAACAAACAAACACGCATGCACGCATACGTATGTACGTAAGTACGTGCATGCATGCAGACAGACAGACAGACAGTCATGCATGCATGCATATATACGCACATGCATATGCACTCCGGGGGGAGGCGCGCGGCCCCAAGGCAGGTGGCCCCCACCCTCCATGGGCGGACGGGGCCCCAGACTGCCTGCAGGACCCCCTCGGTGACGGCCCCGGCCAGCCCAGAGGGGGCCAGGAGGACCCCAAGAAGCACCGTAGCGACCCAGCAGGGCCCCACCCACCAAACCACCTCAACCCAACCCGAAGCCCTCAATTTGCCCTCCATTTCCAGTGGGGGGGGGGGTCGAGGAACGTTGAAAAAACACATGGAACCCGTACCCCCCCCCAGCCCGAAATTGGGGTCAAATCCGGGTCTTCGGGTTGGGTTGGGGTGGTCTGGTAGGTAGTCCGCAGGGCCCCAGAGCGGTCCAACGACGGCCCAGGACGCCTCCGAGACGCTCCGGGGAAGCTCCGAGCCCGCTCCCACGAGGGCCCCAGCAGGCAGAAAACGTGATTCACTTTTGTTTTTTACATGTTTTTAGTTTGTTCGCCTTTTCCGTTCTCGACGTGCCGAGACAGCCCCGGAGGCCCCCTAGACCTCGCCCAGGCGGCCCAAGACGCCCCCAAGACCGCCCGAAGCCCGACACGGCTCCAAGACGGCCCAAGAGGGCCCTAAGACGGCCCCAAGAGAGGCGCCAGAGGGGGAACGCGGACCGAAAATCCAAAATTTCTGCCCCGACAGGCTCCTAGAAGGCCCCACGATGCCCGCAAGAGGTCCCAAGAGGCCTCCAAGACCCCCTCTGAACGGCCCAACACGGCCCCAAGACGGCCCAAGAGGCGCCCAAGACGGCCCAAGAAGGCATCACGGTCCAGGGAAGGGGTCTCGGTATCGGTACCGGTCGACACGGCCCATCGTCAGTCTTACACGCACAATGAAAGATGAAGCCAGCAATTGTGCACAGCGCGTTCTGGCGGAACCCTTCCGGAACAGGCTGGAGCAGGAGGGAGATCCGGATGACGGAGAGGAGGAGGAGGAGGAGGAGGAGGAGGAGGAGGAGGACGAGGACGAGGAGGATCTGGAGGACTCCCCTTCCCTCCGCTCCCGGCCACATGACGGCCTAAGATGCGCCCAGCACGGCTCAAGAGGGTCCCGACATGACCTTGGGAAGGGGTCTCGGCATCGGCACCGGGCGACAAGGCTCATCGTCAGCCTCAGACGAACGATGAAGGATGAAGCCAGCAATTGTGCACAGCGCATTCCGGCATGACCCCTCCGGAACACGCTGGAGAAGGAACAGGGTCTGGAGAAAGAAGAGGAGGAGGAGTTGGAAGAGGAGGAGGAGGAGGTAGTTGAGGGGGATCTGGAGGAGGAAGAGGACGAAAGAGGATTCAGAGATTTCCCCCATCTGGCCTCCGCTCCCGACCCCAAGACGGTTCAAGAGGCGCCCCAAACGGCCCAAGAAGGTCCCAAGACGGCCCGGGGAAGGGGTCTCGGTATCGGTCGACACGGTTCATCGTCAGTTTCACAGGCACAATGGAAGATGAAGCCAGCAATTGTGCACAGCGCGTTCTGGCGGCACTTTTCCGGAAGAGGCTGGAGGAGGAGGGAGGTTTGGAAGACGAAGAGGAGGAGGAGGAGGAGGAGGAGGAGGTTGAGGAATGAGAAGGAAGAGGATTTGGAGCAGGAGGACGAGGAGGAGGAAGAAGAGCAGGATCTGGAGGTTTTTCCCCTCCCCTCCGCTCCCGACCCCAAGACGGCCTAGGAGGCGCCCACAACAGCCCAAGAGGGTCCCGAAACGCTCCTGGGAAGGGGTCTCGGCATCGGTATCGATCGACAAGGCTCATCGTCAGCTCTGCCTCGAACGAACAGTGGTATATGAAGCCAGCAATTGTACACGGCGCGTTCTGGCATAACCCTTCGGGAAAACGCTGGAGGACCCCGAAGGTCTGGGGTAAGAAGGAGGAGAAGGAAGAGGAGGAGGAGGAGGAGGAGGAGGAGGAGGAGGAGGAGGATTTGGGGGTTTTCCCCCAACCTGGCCCGAGAGGCGCCCACAACAGCCCAAAAAGGCCCAAGCACGTCCTTGGGAAGGGTTTTCGGTATCGGTATCGGTCGACCAGGCTCTTCGTCAGCCTCCTGCGAGCAATTAGAGACGAAGCCAGCAACTGTGCACAGCGCGTTCTGGCAGGGCCCTTCCAGAACATGCTGGACGGGAAGGGAGGTCAGGAAGAGGAAGAGGGGAAGGAGGAATAGGAGGAGGAGGAGGAGGAGGAGAAGGAGGAGGAGGATCTAGAGATATCCCACTCCTATTCGCCGTACGCTTCGTCGCACTCATCGTATTCGCTGGCCGGTTCGGCCCAGTTCAGGGTCCATTTCGAAGTCAGTTCGATTTGGTCCGGTTGAGTGTCGAAAACGAACGGTTCGGTTCGGTTCGGTCCGCGTTGAGAAAATGACCGGGTCGCACCAGTTCGGTTTGGCCCGGCTCGATTCGGGCAGTTCGGCTCGCTTCCAGAACCATTTTGTAGACATCATTGTCGTCGTCGTTGCCGTCATGGTCGTTCGTTGTCGTCATCCTTGTCGAGGTCGCCACAGTAGTCTTTGTCATAGTCGTCGAGGCCGTCGTCGTCGTCATCAAAAATCGAGTTTGAATTTGGGAACGTTTGCGCTCGAACCTAGGCGCGCGCGAAGCGCGTGGTTCTAGTATATATGGATGTGTGTATGTATGCATGTGTGGATGTGTACATATACACATACATACACACATATGTATATATATATATATATATACATATGTACACATTCCTCAAACAATGCTTGCACTTAGGGTTTCTGAATTGTTTTCTATCGAACTGGGCTGGTGTGCCAGTCTGGTGGCTGTCCTGTCGCTGACGCCGCCCCGTCGCCGCCTCGTCGCCGCCAGTCGTCTGGGCCGGTGTGCAGCTTTTGCGGCTATGTTGTCGCCGTCGCCGCCCCGTCGCCGTCTCGCCGCCGCCCGTCGTCTGGGCCTGCCTGCCGATCTGGCGGCTATGTTGCCGCCGTCGCCGCCTCGTCGCCGCCCGTCGTCTGGGCCGGTCTGCCGGTCTGGCGGCTATGTTGCCGCCGTCGCCGCCCCGTCGCCGCGTAATTAAATTGCAACACATGGGTTGCACAACATAGATTGCACCACGTGGATTGCACCTCATATAGTGAAGAACATAAATTGCACCACAAAGAGTACACTACATGTATTGCAGCGCAAACATTACACTACACATGTTGCACCATCTTGATTGCTCAACCTATACTGCACAGCATAGACTGCACCACCTATATCGCACCACATAGATTGCTTCACATAGACCGCAAAACATACATTGCACCACATATATTCCACCACATCTATTGCACCACTCAGATTGCATAACACATGTTGCACTTCCGTTCCATCTCTCCCAGTCAATCGATCGATCGACGCATATATATATATATATATATATATATATATATATAATATGTTTCTCGCTTTGTTTGTTCTCTCTCTCTCTCTCTCCCTCTCTCTATCTCGCTCTTTCTCTCCCCCCACAGCAAAGAGGAGAGAGAGGCAAGGAGACGCAGGGGCAGGGAGGTGGTCGGAGGCAGAGTAAACAAAGGGGAGGAGCGGGGTGCGTGCGAGAGAGCGCGGTGCTTGCGCGAGAGAGAAAGAGGGTAAGAGAGTGAGCGAGCGAAAGAGTGAGAGACAGGAAAGTATTGAAAACGACAGAGACAAGAAAAAGAAGCAACAGAGAGAGAGAGATAGATAAAGAGAAACAAAAAAAAGAGGGTAAACAACACAGAGAGAGAGAGAGATGAAACAACAAAGGGACGCAGACAGGGGAGAAGGAGGAGGAGGAGGAAGTGGGCAACCCAGGTGGGCAAGCAGGGGATGACGCCCTTGCACATGGCCGTCCGGGCTCGCAAGGAGGAGCCGCCGCCACCGCCTCTTTCTGCCCCCCACCCTCCTCGTCATCATTTCCATTCTCCTGGGCAGCCTGCTCCTGCTGTCTATCCTCCTCGTCCGCCTCCTGATCCGCACCCTCCTCATCCCTTTGCCGTTCCTTCTCCTCCTCACGATCATAATTCCCATCCCCTCATCAAAGGCCGCCGCGCGCTCAAGCCTTCGGTGACACAGCGGTCTCCTCAGAAGATCCCTCCATTGTTCGCCAAGGGGCAGAGAGCACACTGCGATGGCAGCTCGCACGGATGCCAGCTCCGGAGGTGCGCCTCGTGCGGCATGTTGGCGCGTTGTATGCTGAGGCCGGTTGAGGAGGTCTCCCACGAGTGGGAGCAGCACTACAAGAACAAGCCGCTGCTTATGCGCCACACATCCAACGAGCACACCGAGCAGCAACTCAAGCAGCTCGACGGCGCCGGGAAGAGAAAGTTGGTGGCGGTAAAGGTGGAGTACGAGCTGCTTACGAAGTTCTTGGCAGTAGAGCGGCGCAACCAAGACGAGAAGGCGCACGACAACCACAAGATCGAAGCCAAGGGTCCGGCTGCCATAGCCATGGGGAACTACCAGCTCGCCTGCGCAACTTACTGAGCGAAGTCCAAAGTCGAGTATCACTTCCAGTGCCACCGCTGCGACGACGGCAAGGTGTGCATCTTCTTGCATACTGCCAAAGGGAGCTACTACCTCACTTGTGCCGCTAACGGAGAGCAGTCCAACAGCGTGTACATCGTTCAGTGCGACGGCTGCGACGACGGCAACGCGCGCATCTTCTTGCATGTTCGTTCCGCGCAGTTCGTGCTCACGCAGGAGGGGCCCGAGAAGTCACAGCAGGAGAACCTGAAGGCGGAGCACGAGCCGCGCACGGAGCTCATGGACGAGGCGCGGGGGGACACATTCAAGGATGACGTTGCCAACATCGCTGGAGCGGAGCAGTACCACGAGAGGCACTACGACGAGCCTTTCGCCGAAATCATGCGTTACGGACTGCACAGTGCCGCAGGAGGCACTACGACGAGCCCTTCGCCGAGACTATGCGCTACAGAGTGGAGCAGCACCACTGGAGGCACTACGACAAGCTCCACGTCGACATCATGCGCTACGGAGTGGAGTTGTCCCGCGGGAGGCACTACGACGAGCCCTTCGCCGACGTCGCCACGGAGCGGAGAAGTACCACGGGAGGCACTACGACGAAGGAGCGCGCCGAAGGGCGCGCGCCGCCAGTCTCAGCAGTTCCTGTCTTCGCTTCTAGGCCAGACCCCCAGCAGCTGCCGACTCGGGGTCGGCAGGACGCGCGCAGCCAGTCTCAGAAGACTCAGAGCTGGAGCACGCCGCAGGGCGTGCGCCGCCAGTCCTAGAAGACTCAGAGCTGGAGCATGCCACAGGGCGTGCGCCGCCAGTCTCAGCAGCTTCTGTCTTCTTGTCTGGGCTAGCCGACTCGAGGGTGGCAGGGCGCGCGTTGCCAGTCTCAGCAGACTCAGAGCAGGAGCACGCCGCAGGGTGTGCGCCGCCAGTCTCAGCTTCGTTTGTCTTCTTGTCTGGGCCAGCAGACTCGGGGTCGGCAGGACTGGCACAGCCAGACTCTGCAGCTTCATTCCTTGCGACTGGACCAGGCGGCCCAGCAGCTGCCGACTCGGGGTCAGCCCACCTTGACGGGCCCGAGGGCCCACGCGATCAGCTCGTGAATCCGAGAACTATCCAGATGCGAACATGATTTCCCCCCTGAGCGAATGCGACATGATTGGCTTCACGACGGGGCTTGCATGGTCAGCCTGAGCCACGGTCTCTTCTCCAACCTCCGATCTTCCCAACGCTCAGCATGCAACGCGGGCACCGCCAGCTGTCTACGGTTTTCCCTGGACCGCGCGCACATGTGTGCAGCACCCCGTGAAGCACGGCTCCTAGCGAGGTCTTCAGGGAGCAATTCGGCCCTCTGCGACGGATCATTTTTTCTCTAAAACTCCTTGCTCAACAGTTTGGTCCTGGTGCCGAGGAAAAAATCCCCTCGTCATCCACTTCGTTCTCTTCATTCGCCTACTCTTTATCCCTCTTGTCATCCTCATCATTATCCTCCTCCTTCCTCCTAGTCCTCCTCCTCCTCCTCTTCCGCCTCCTCCTCCTCCTCCTCCTCCTCCTCTTCCTTCTCCTCCTCACCTTTCTCATCATCCACGCCCCCTGCTATTCTCCTCGTTGTCTTCGTCCCAGTCCACCCTTCTCCCTCCGTTCAGAGCCGCCGCTTCGGCCCGAAGACGCGAATATCGTTCTGGCTGCAATTTTTAACCGGGGCCCAAAGGAGGACGACCAAGTGGGATGCGGCCGAGATTCGTCGTTCTCGCGCAGCCACTTTGGGGCCCATAACTACGTAAAGGTGACCGCAGGATATACCACTACCTCCCCGTTGCCTCTGACACGGTTAGGGTGCTGGCGACGGTTGAAACGCAACCCATTCGATTTTGCATGCGCGCTCGCAAGTTTTGCCAGACGAGGGGCGAGCAACCCATTGACCCGTTGACCTTCTGTGATATCCCCGCATTTGGAGCAGATCATTAAGAGTCCTTCAGTGGTTCCAGCAACGTGTTCGGCTATCTATAGTTTGTGGCCTCGCGGGTCCTGTTTGTGACTAGTTATGGTTGGATTAGGCCATGGGCAGTTCAGCCCCACAGGCGGGGCATGCCGATGGAATCCCCTGCGTAAGGGACGCTCGCGCAAACAGCGCGTGTCAGGCAACCACCTCCAGCAGGGCCCATCCTCCAGGGGGACGGGGATGGAGGGAGGTGACGGGGGGTGCGGGGGGTGCGGAGGACGCGAGGAGGAAAATGAGGAGGAGGAGGCGAGCCCCAATGTTGGAACCACCCGCCCTCCATCCTACTGATGCCAGGTTTTACGTCGAGTATCAGTGGCGCCAAGGCGAGAACCCCATTTGACCACCCCCCTATCCATCCTTGTAGCTGTTGCAAACATGTAAGGAGAATGTGCGAGGCGCTGAGGCGATCGTAGGTTGGGGACTGAGATCCCAGTAGAAAGGAGAGCCCCCACTGGAAAATCGGTTTCGGTTTCGTGTTCGCGTCGTGCGTGGGGCGATGCGAAGCAGCGTGGGCGCGCGAGGGGAATGATGCCGCCGTGGCTAGGGACTGTGGAACCGGCTGTCCGCCTCCACCCCCCCTGGCGCACGGTGGCCGGGGGTGTCCCGTCGGTGGCGCGGGAGTGCCCCGTCGGTGGCGCAGGGTGCCCCGTCGGTGGCGCGGGGTGTCCCGACGGTGGCTCAGGGTGTCCCGCCGTGGTGTCTCGATGGTAGCTCATGAGATCAGTTGTGAGATCGACAGTGAGATTGATTGCGCGGTCGATCGTGAGCGCAAGATCGATCGTGAGACCGAGAGATCGATAGTGATATCGATATTGAAATCAATAGTGAGGTCGACGGTGATGTCGACAGTGAGATCGACAGCGAGATGTCCTGGCGGTGCCCACGTGGTGTCCCAGGCGGCTTGCGTCGAAGGTCCCTGCGCCATCATTACCATCACGGTCGTCGGAGGCGAGGGGGTGAGATCGCAGTAGAACGGAGAGCCCCCCCACCAGTGGCCTGGTCGGGGCTGCCCCGTCGGTGGCGCGGGGGTGCCCCGTCGGTGGCGCGGGGTGTCCCGACGGTGGTCCGGGGTGTCCCGCCGTGGTGTCCCGGTGGTAGCTCGTGAGATCAGTTGTGAGATCGAAGATGAGGTCGATAGCGAGATCGATCACAACAGATCTTCGGCCAGGGATGCCCCGCCGTGGCTGAGGGTGCCCCCTCGTGGTGTCCCGTGTCCCCATGGTGTGTCGCAAGATCCGTTGAGAGACCAATAGTGGGATCGAACGTGAGATCGATTGTGAAATCGATATTGAGATCGATAGTGGGGTCGCAGCAGCTCTATGGGCGGGCCATTATGCATTCTCGCCATCAGCGTCATCGTGCATTGTCGCCGTCTCGCGAGCGCAACGCCAGCATCGTCGCCATCAAAACCATTGCAGTTGTCATCAGTGGATTTCTCTTCCCCCCCCATCCTCCTTATCATCCGAAGAGTGGTCGTATAGGTAGCCCAATGTTGAAAACCACCCGCCCTACATCCTTATGAATGTTACAAGCTTTGACGAATGTGCGCGAAGCTGGGGCGAGAGCTGTATGTTGACAGCCAGCCGCCATCCATCCTTGCATCTGGTGGAAATGAAAAGCTTCTGGACCATACATTGCGAGGAAGCCTCAAGCGAAAGGTCCTGCCCGCCCTGCCGATACGTCTGGTGGTCAGACGAGGAGTTTCGCATCTCTCTCTCTCTCTCTCTCTCTCTACATATATATATATATATATATATATGCATACATACATACATACATACATACATACATACATACATACATACATACATACATACATACACAAATCCATATACACACACATATATATATATAGAGAGAGAGAGAGATTGATGAACAGACCCCCCGCCGGCCTGGGGGCGCCAAGTCCACAACCATCCGGGAGCATTTGTTGCTACCCTCCTGGCTCGCTTCCTGGAGGCGGCCCGGGGAGAGGCCAGAGGGCCGCAGAGAGCACCCAGTAGGGTCCAAGAGCGCTCCAAGACGCCCAAGATGGTTCCAAGACGGCCCAAGAGGCCTCAAAGAAGCCCCAAGAGCGCTCGAAGGGGATCCCCAAGAGGGCCCAGAGGGGCAAAATCCGTGATGTCCCTTGTGTGTGTGTTTTCAACGTGCTTCGCGTTTCCGCGTTATGGGCCTCGGGCGCTCCAAGACGGCCCCAGAGGCCCCCAAGACCGCGCCAAGACGGCCCAAGAGGCCCCTAACGAGGGCCCCAAGACGTTCCAAGAGGGCCCAAAGACGGCCCAAGAGGCGCCCAAGATCGCCCAAGAGAGCCTCAAGACGGCCCCAAGAGGGGCCCAAGAGGGGGAACACGAACCGACAATTCGAGCCTTCCGCCCCAAGAGGCCCCCAAGAGGCCCCCAAGAGAGCCCTGGAGGCCCCACGAGGCCCCAAACAGGCCCAGAAAGAGGCCCCAAGAGAACCCCAAACGGCCCCCAAGAGGCCTCCATAACTGCCTCCAAGAGCCCCCTGGGAGGCCTCCCACGAATTCTAAGCGAACTTCCAAGAAGCCTCTAACCCACAACCCAGGCACGGTGGCGGGATGGGCCGAAGGCCCAAGACGCCCAAAACGGCCTCCAGACGGCCCAAGAGGCCCCCAAGATACCCGAGAGGCCCCGAAGAGGTCTCCCGAGAGAGCTCGAAGAGGCCAAATCACATTGATTGATTGTCCTTTGGTATTTGAGCAAGTTTAACATTGCCGCCTGTTCCGCTGCCCGACGCTGCAAGACGCCCCAAAAGGCCCCGAGGATCGCCCCAAGACGACCCAATAGGCTTCAAAAGCGCCCCAAGACGGCCCCAAGACAGCTCCAAAGCGGCCGAAGAGACGTCCAAGACGGCCCGAGAGGGCGCCAACCGCGGCCCAGGATCGGAATGGAGAACCCGAGATGTTCGCCCCAGGAGGCACCCAAGAGGTTTCAAGAGGCCCCGAAGAAGCCCCAAAGAAACCCAAAAGAGCCCCAAAAGATGCCCCGAGGGCAATTGAAAAAAGGATGTCCAACATGTTTGTTGTTCAAGTTCGCCTGGCAGCTCGGCTGCGCTTGCAAAAACAAGAAATGTCCCTCCTCCTCTTCCACCTGTTCCTCCTCCTCCTCCTCCTCCTCCTCCTCCTCCTCCTCCTCCTCCTCATCTGCGGCTTCCTCCACCCTCTCCAACTCGTCCTCATCCTGATTCTCTCCCAGGGAACCCCATTCACCTCCCCTTCTCCTCCCTCTGCCTCCGGCTACGTTCAGCCGCGGCGAACAAAATGGCCCCCGAAGTGCCTCTCGGGCATGTCTTAGGCCGCCGTGGGTGGACCGTAGGAAGTCTTGGAAGCCACTTGGGTCGTCTTCGTGGTTCTTGGAAGCCCTGGAGGAGAAGTACAATATTATATATAGAGATCCCCAAGAGTTGGACCATCCAGCCTAGCTAGAACTGGACTGAGCGCAAAGTGCGCGCGATGGGTGTGCGCATATATATATATATATATATATATATATATATATATGTGTATATTGGTATATGTATGTATGCATGTATGTACGTATGTATAAATGGATGGCTGGTTGGATGGATGGATGTAGGTATGGATACATAGATATGCATCACTATGTATGTGTGTGTCTAGTCACATAATATATATATATATATATGTATGTGCTTACATAGACATGCATACTTACCAGGAAGACAGGATGCAGGAGGAGGGGGAGGAGGAGGAGGAGGGTCGCCCCGAGAACGTCGCCAAACTGCTGATCGAGGCCGGCTGCGACACAAGCGTCAGGGCGAGCGGCAAGACCGCGGCGGAGTTGGCCGCGCCCGGGCGCGAGAAGCGGCGCGGAGGAGGGGGAGGGTGGAGGACAAGGAGGAGGACGACGAGGAAGAAGAAGAAGAAGAAGAACGGGGAGAGACGAAGGACGGGGAGATGGTTGGATGATCAGGAGAAGGAAAACGTTGGAGGAGGAGGAGGAGGGGGAGAAGAGGACAGGAGGAGGGCAAGCAGGAGCAAGAGGGAGGAGCAAGAGGAGGAGGAGGAGGAGGAGGAGGAGGAGGAGGAGGGACGCCGCGGAAGAGCAGGAGGATGCAGAGAGGGGAAGGATGACGACATGGAGGAGGGAGATTCGGATACGTACAATGATGAGGAGGAGTCAGGGGCGGAGGAAGAAGAGGAGAAGGAGGAGTGGAACAGATCGGGCGGGCGGACCGTGACGGGCGGGTCGGGCCAGCGGACCATGACATGCGGCTCGGGTTGGGTTGGGCGCTAAGGTAGTGTGGAATCCATCCAGCGGGGGAATCACGATGGCGACGAAGTCGACGACTACGACCACGACGACGATGATGGTGACTAGGGAGAGAACGACGACGACGACGACGACGACGACAACGATGGCGACGACGAGGCGGACGAGGCCAACAACGAAGACGACCATGAAGTCGACCACTGCCTGCGATGACGACCCTAACTGGCGGGTCTGGCGACTGGACCCTCACTGGCGGGTCGGGTGGGCAGGTCGGGCGGACCCTAACTGGCGGTCTGGGCGATTGGACCCTAACGGGCGGATCGGGCGTGTCGGGCGGGCGGACCTTAACAGACGGGTCGGGCAGGCGGACCATAACGGGCGGGTCGGGCGGGCGGATTTTAACGGGCAGGCGGGTCGGGTCGGGAGGAACATTAAGTAGTGTGCAATCCCTCCAGCCAGACACCCACGAATGCGACGACGGCGGCGACGACGGCGAGGGCGACGCCAACTACGACGCCGCCGAGGGCGACGATTTCGAAAGCGACGACGACGACGACGACGACGACAACGACGACGACGACGACGACGACGACGACGACGACGACGACGACGACGACGACTAGGACGACTAGGACGACGACGACGACGACGACGACGACGACGACGACGACGACGACGACGACTAGGACGACTAGGACGACAAGGGCGACAACGGCGGCGATTACGATGGCGACGACGGCGGCGCCAACCCTGACGGGCGGGTCGGGAGGGCGGGGGGGCCTTACGGGGGGAATCGGGCGAATCGGGCGACTGGACCCTCACGGGCAGGTCGAGCGGGCGGACCATACAAGGCGGGTCGGGCTGGGCGGGACGCTCAGGTCAGAGTCCGCGACCCACCCGCGGCCCCCCCCGCGACCTACCCGCGACCCACCCCGCGACCCACCCCGCGACCCACCCGCGACCCACCCGCGACCCACCCGCGACCTACCCCGCGACCCACCCCACGACCCACCCCGCGACCCACCCGCGACCCACCCGCGACCTACCCGCGACCTACCCGCGACCCACCCGCGACCCAACCAGCGACCCACCCGCGACCCACCTTCGACCCAAACCACATTCAAGGTGCAAACAAACATTTTCGGCGCCTGCGGCTGGCTTTTTTTGCATTCCTTCGAGGTGGAGAGCCCGCGACCCACCCCGCGACCAACTCGCGACCAACCCGCGACCCAAACCACGATCAGGATACAAACCATATTTTTCGGCGCCTGCGGCGGGCATATTTTGCATTCGTTCCAGGTGGAGAGCCCGCGGCCCACCCGCGACCACGGTTTCCAGGGTACAAAACACATTGTTCGGCGCCTGCGGCGGGCATCTTTTGCATTCCTTTCCAGAGGAGAACCCGCGGCCCACCCGCGACCCAAACCACGTTCAGTGTACAGACCAATTATTTCGGCGCCTGCGGCGGGCTGCTTTTGCATTCCTTCCAAGTGGCGGTGGAGAGCCCGCGACCCACCTGCGACCCAAATCACGTTCACTGAACAAACCAAGGCCGCACAAGCGCGGCGGCGGATTTTAGCATGCCGTCTGAGCCCGCAACGACCTCTTCAAGCCCCGCGCATCCACGCCAGCCCGTCCAGCAATTTTGCCCCGGCGAGTTGCCTTGATCAGATAAATCGGGGAGCATAACATGGAAAAAAGGATTGCGTTGCCGTTATCTTGGGAAAAGAGGGGGGGCAGAAGGAGTAAACAGGGGGCGAGGAGGACGCGGAAGAAGAGAGGATGTAAGGAGAATGTAGAGAAAGAGGAGGAGGAGGAGCAGGAGGACGAGGAGGGGGAGGAGGAGGAGGAGGGGAGGAGGAGGAGAACGAGAAGAAGGAGGGGGAGGAGGGGGAGGATGATGATGATGATGGACGACAATGGGAGGACGATGATGGAGGCCGATGAGGGGGAGGACGATGATGGAAGGACGAGGGGGGCAGAGGGAGAACGAGGAAGAAGAGGAGGAGGAGGACGAGGTGGAGGAGGAGGACGATGACGATGACGATGACGATGAGGACGAGGACGAGGACGAGGAGGAGGAGGAGGAGGAGAAGGAGGAGGAGGAAGAGAGCGCCATCGACAAGGAAGGCGGGGGCCAGGAGGTCCGCTGGCTCTACGACGCCCGCGTCGCCCGCGCTAGCCCCCTCACTCTTATCCGCAATTGCGGGGTGCTACGTACTCTGCAGCCGATCCAGAAGGACACCCAGAGTGCGACGAAGACGACGACGAGGGCAAGGACGATGCCGGCGAGGCCGACAACGAAAGGCGACTGTGAGGTCGACCACTGCGTGCGACGACGACCCTGTTGCGCGGGCGGGGCGACTGGACCCTCACGGGCGGGTCGAGCGGGCAGGTTGGGCGGACGCTAAGAGGCGGGTCGGGCGACTGGACCCTAACGGGCGGGGCGCTACCCAGCGGGTCGGGCGGGCGGATCCTAGCGAGCGGGTCGGGCCGGTCGGGTGGATGGACCCTCACAGGCGGGTCGGGCGGGCGGACCCCAGTAGGCGGGCAAGGCGGGTCGAGCGGGACATCAGAAGTAGCGCAATCAATGTAGCCAGACACCCACGAATGCAACGACGACGGTGGCGATGGCGAAGGCGACGCCAACGACGACGACGACAATGGCGACGAAGACGACGACAACGACGAGAAAACCACGACGACGACGACGACGACGACGACGAGGGCAGTGACGACGACGGCGACGGCGAGGACGACGACGACTGTGACGAGGGTGGCAACGACGACGACTACATGGGCAACGACGGCAGCGACAACCGCAACGGGCGGGCCCGGCGACTGGACCCTGACCGGCGGGGCTGGCGGGCGGACCCTAGCCGGCGGGTCGGGCGGGCGGACCTTAGCCCGCGTGCGGGGTCGGACAGGACATCAAAATTAGGGTGCAGTCCATCCAGCAGGAAACCCACGTGGGCGACGACGACATCGAGGGTGGCGACGACGACGACGATGCCGATGACGACAAGGGCGACGAAGCGACGAGGACGAACACGACGACAACGACGACGACGACGACGACGACGACGACGACGACGACGGCGACGGCGACGGCGACGGCGACGGCGACGGCGACGGCGACGGCGACGGCGACGAAGGCGATCAGGGAGCGAGAACAGCGACGACGAGGACGACGACGGCGACGACAACGCCGACAACGACGACGACTATTAGGGCGACTACTTCTACGACGACCCTGACGGGTGGGTCTGACGACTGGCTCCTAACGGGCGCCTTGGGCGGGTTGACCCTGACGGGCGGGTCGGGCGGGCGGGTCGGGTCGGGTCGGGCGGGACATTGAAACGGTGTGCAACCCTTCCAGCCGGACATCCACGAATGCGACGACGACGGTGACGAGAGCGACGACGCTTACAATGACGAGGGCGACAGAGACAATAAGGACGGCCACGACCACGACGTGGACGAGGGCAACTACGACGACAACGTCGACGACGACGACGTCGACGTCGGCGACGACGACTAGGACGACGACGACTAGGACGACGACGGCGATGACGACGACGACGACCACAAGGACGGCAAGGATGACAAGGACGACAACGACGGCGATGAGAAACGACGACAGAAACGATGGACAAGGACGACGGGGACGAGGACGACGTTAGCAGCGGCGACGACGACGACGACGAACGCAAGCACAACGAGGACAAGGGCGTCCATGACGGTGACCATGAGGGCCACGACGGCGACTACACCCTTAATGGGCGGGTCGGGCGGGCAGGCCCTACCGAGCGGGTCGGACGGGTCCAGCGGGCGGGTCGGGCGGGCGAACCTTAACGGGCGCGTCGGACAGGCGGGCGGGTCTTCGACTTCGTCTTCGTCGCCATCCTCCTAGTCCTCCTCCTCCTCCTCCTCGTCCTCCTCCTCCTACGTACTCATCTTCCTCCTCCTGTTCTTCCTCCTCCCCGTTCTCCGCCTCCGTCTCCTCCTCCTTCACCTCCTCCTCCTCCTCGTCCCCCTCTTCCCTCTCCTGCTTCTCATCCTCCTTCTCTTCGTTATTATTCTCTCATTCCCGTGATCCGCCAGGGTTGGCGGAGCCCCCCTTTCTGAGTTCCAGTGAGTGTTCGCTTGGAGATCGTTCCTGAATGGGCGGGTGTGGGTACAACAGGCGCGAGGAGTGTTCATAATAAAAACGAGCATCGAGAAGCCCCAGGCAGCACCAAAGTCGAACACCCTCGAACCTCTTCGGTTTAGCACTCCCGCCACGACCCGAGCCGCGAGCGACCGAAGATCACGACGCCATCCCAAGGAAGACAATCTCAGCGCAGGCGCCTGAGAGCATCCCGACGCACGACGCTGTACTCGCACGCGCTGAACTCGCACGGACTGAACTCGCACGCGCACGAACTCGCACTGACTGAACTCGCACGAACCTGAAATCACACGCCAGTGAACTCGCACGGAACTGTCTTCGCACGGATTGAAGTCGCACGGATCTGAATTCGCACCATTGAATTCGCACGGATTGAATTCGCATTTTGGATAGCAGCAAATGTTGTAAGCGTCGCATCCCGCGTGCGAGTTCGGAACGTGCTAGGCTTCGGTGCGAGCTGAGTTGTGCCAGTTCAGCTGCATGCGAATCAATTGTCTGCGAGTTGACTGCGCGTGCGACTTAAGTACGTGCGAGTTGGTGGTTTACCACCATCATCATCACCATATTCGTCATCAGCACCATCACCATCATCATCATCATCATCATCATCATCAGCATCAGCATCAGCATCAGCATCATCATCATCATCAGCAGCAGCAGCAGCATCATCGTCAACGTCAGCATCAGCGTCAGCAACTCTCCATATCGTCCCTCATCCCCTATATTCGCATGCTCTCCTCTCCTCTTCTCCCTATCCTCGTCCTATCCTCTCCCTCTTCTCCTCTTTCCTCATACACATCCTCCCTATCCTCTTACTCCTCCTCCTCCCCCCCTCCCCAGACCCCCGACGTCGTGACTTGATCAAAACGTGTCGCCGCGCGGTCTGTTCCGACGCGCGGCTTACGCCTTGGGGCCATTCGACGGGGCTCATTGAGGGGCCGCAATATAGTTTGAAAACCGCGCAGTCCCTGGGAAGAGGCAGATGCGTTTGAGGGTCCACGCTGTGAAAAAAACATCCTGGCGGAGGATCAAAAAATCCGCCGACCCCAGAGGCGCATGAGGAAAAGTGACTTCTTGCGCCGCCTACATTGCGCCTATCCTGCCCCCATGCGCCGAGCCATCCTGCCTTACATTGCCCCCTTATCCTGCCCTACAGTGCCCTCAGCTTGCCCTACATTTCCCTGCCATCTTGCGCCTCTTGCGCCTACATTGCGCCCATCCTGCCCTATCCTGCCCTCGTCCGATCCTGCCCTCATCCTATCGCGCCAGGAACCGACCAAGGGCAAACTCCGCCTGGGACGCAAGGTTTGCCGTTGGTTTGCCGCGGTGGCGGCTTCGTCCACCTGGGCGCGTTCAAAACAAAAGGCCCGGCGGCACGTGGACCTCAGAGGTTTCGCCCCTGTCCCTGGAACCGTTGCTTCATCCTGCGTCGTGTTTAGACGGTCCCGGGGCCTGGTAAGGACCCCCAGAGTTCGAATAATATCTATACATGTATATATGTATATATATATATACAAGACTGCAGTGGCGCTTCGCGCCATGCACTTTGGTCCTTGAAGTTTGGTATGCAGGCGGACTAGCAGGAAGGTCAGGCCGACAATTTAGCGATGACTCCTTTTCCGGCATCCGGCATCGCCGCTATAATAATGTTATTCGTTATCCTTCCTCCATGTCTATTTTTCCTTATTTTCGCCATGCCTTGCGCATTCTCCCCATCCTCTTCAGCTCTTTTTGCGGAGGCTCCTCCTTGGAGAGCCTCTGGGGGCCTCACAAAAGTTGCTTCAGGCTTTCATAAGGCCTTCTGGAGGCCTCCTGGACGTGTTCTGGGGGCCTCTGGGGGCTTCCTCGGGCCACCCTGCCTCCAACCGCGGTCTTCCTGAACGACCGGGTCATGATTTGGAATGCTTCGGAGGGTATCTTGGGGCCATCTTGGGCCGCCATGGGGTTCTCTGAGGGCCATCTTGGACCCCTGTTGTGCTGTTTTGGGGCTCTCTTGGACTGCCTGGAAGCCCTTTCGGATGGTTGTGGGGCGATTTGGGAGCCTCCCAGGCAGCTTCGGACGCCCAGCAGACCGCCGTCTTGGAGCGTCGGGAAGCCGAAAAGAGGAGAACCCACCAATAATCCAAAAACCAACAAAATCAATGATTTTTGCATCTTGGGGCCTTCTTGGGAATGCTCTTGGAGACCTCTTGGGACGTTTCGGGACGATCTCTGGGGGTATGACGGCTTCTTGGGGGTCGTCGTTGACCGTATTGTGGCTCTCTGGGGTCGTTTCGGGAGCGCGCCACGTCCTGCGAGGCCCGGGGGGCCGCTTCCAGGCCCGTCCGGAGGGTCCCTAAGCCCCAGATCCCTGGAGTCCGGTTTTGGGGGGGGGGGGGGGGACGTTTTTTCCCCCCGCCCGGGCTTGTAAATATATATATATATATATATAGAAAGAGGAATATACATGCATATATACAAACAAAAGTCCGTCGTGATGTTTGTCATGACCCTCTTCAGGCCATGACCAACGGCGCGGCTGGCATCGCCAGATTGCTCTCGAAGGAGCCGTGCGAGCCCCGCGTCGGGATGGACACGTTGGACGAGAAGCTCAAGAAGGATCTCCCTCGATCGGGGATCGAGGATCGATGATCGATCGATCGAGGATCTAGGATTGATGACTGAGAATCGAGAACCAAGATTCTGCAATCGCGCCATATAAGTACTACTCTCCTCTCTCCCTCGAATATGTCCTGAGATGATTCGCCTCTCTCCACGCTCTCTGTTCTTATTCACGGGCTCTGCGCGAACTGGTTTTTTTTATATAGTTGTGTACCATGCGGTCGTTTATAGCTTCTCAGATGTTCTGCTCACGCTGCAGCGTGGGCCTCATTTCTGGATCGGCGCTGTGCTCCCGTCGTTCAGAGTGGCGCTCCCGCCCCAGCATGGGCCAGTGTTCCGGATCCCGCAGGTCTCGCAGGTCCCACGGGCCCCGCGGGTCTCGCGAGCCCCGCAGGTCCCCAGAGGCATCGCCAGTCTCACGGATCCCACAGGTGGCGCAGGTCTCGCATGCCCCACAGTCCCACGGGTCCCAGAGGTGTCGCGTGTCTCACAGGTCCCACAGATGCCCCCCCAGGTCCCAGATCTTGCAGGTCTCTCAGGTCCCGCAGTTCCTCCTCCTCCTCCTCCTCCTCCGCCTCCTCCTTTTTCCCTTGCGCAGCACATTCAACAAGCGTTTCCTGACGACGCAACCCAGAGGAGGAGGAGTGGAGTGCGGAGACGTTCACAAAAATGCAGTTTGACGTGGCCGTTCCACCATGTGATCTTCAGTCCAGACCATTGCCCCTGCAAGTTTCGAGCCGTGGCCATCGCGCTTCAAATATTCAGCCCCCCTGCGCGCATCTTACACTTGTAAGTATGCCCTGGGATTTCGTCTCAAAGTCATCGATGAGAGTTCCATTGGTTCGAGGGTCCAGCTTCATCGCACATCAGTCGTCGTTCACCTGGAGGGTCCATGCTTGAATCATCAATGTTATTGAGGGCCCGACCTTCTACACCTAATGCAAATAGCCTCGAACGAATAGATTGAGAAAAATAGGGGGCGTCTTGTTATAGACACTCGTGTCTGCAACGTTACCCTTCTTTGTTGCCCCACTCCCTCTTCCTATCCATCCATCCAGTCCTCCCCCCCTTCCATGCATCCCTGCCCCTCCCTCGTCTAATGCCCCCCCTCCCCATCTCCACCCTTCTCCCCTCTGCCCTCCCCCCTTAATTTGTTCAGTTCACTGACATCCATCCCTCCATCATGTCTTTCTCCTTCGTTTCCTCCCTCATCCCTCGCTGTCTTCTTGAGCCACACCCTTCCCCATCCCCCTCCCTCTTTCCGTTGCCCACCTCCCCGGTTCTTCCTCCCATGTATATTTCTCTTCTCCTTGCCTCCCTAGTTCCCTCCCCCCTCCCTCGCTCTCGATGTACGCCCTCCCTTCCCCATCTCCCTCGCTGTCGATCCGTATCCGGGCACCAAAAACAGCCTTTTTCTCACAACGTGGGCCCGAAGGTCTCGACCCCTTGCCCAAGGTCACTTGTTCATCCTGGGCCGTGTTCTGCGAGAGGAGGGGCACCAGAGGCCCGGAATGGCAAAGCAAAACGCGAAGAAAAATGCGCAGGAGCGTCGCGGTCCGGGAGTCAGAGGTCACGGCGACGAGGGCAACCCTTTCTGTTTGGTCTGCGGGGCGAGAGCGAACCTCTTCCGGCAAAAGCTGGGCGGGCAACGCACAGCCCTGATTGGGGAGACAGGGCACAGGCGGGCGGGGCCTCAGGCGGCCGGAGGGCGGGCCGGGGTGCAGGCGGTGCTGAAGAGCTTGCACAGGAAAAGGAACGCCTTGGACAGGAGCCGGAGGCGACGAGGGCAACATGGGAGCCCAAAATAGAAAAAGCAATTGCCCGGTGAGGAACTCATCCCTTTTCTGACACGGGGCAGCTATAGGAAGGACCGCCCAACACAGACGAACATGATGAAAGACGCGCACTTCGCAGCCCCCCAGGGCCCCAGGGAGCTAAAAGGTCTACGTATACTCCGCTGGACATCCCAGGGCCCACGAGGTCTCGACTGGGTCTGCGTGGACCTCCACCCCGCTGGACCTCCCAGGAGCCCACGAACACGGCGACAGTAGCGCGGTTCGCAGCCCCACTGGGAGTCGCGAGGTCTCGGCAGGTCCGTATTGACCTCCACTTCGACCACTCCGCCGGACCTCCCAGGAGCCCACAAAAATGGCGGCAGTTGCGCGGCTCGCAAACCCGCAGGGAGCCGCGAGGTCTCGGCAGATCTGCGTGGACCTCCACTCCGCTGGACCTCCCAGGAGCCCACGAAAATAATGGCGACAGTTGCGAGGTTCGCTAACCCGCAGGGAGCCGCGAGGTCTCGGTATGTCTGCGTGGACCTCCACTCCGCTGGACCTCCCAAGAGCCCACGAAAAAAATGGCGACAGTTGCGCGGCTCACAACCCCGCAGGGAGCCGCGAGGTCTCGGCAGATCTGCGCGGACCTCCACTCCGCTGGACCTCCCAAGAGCCCACGAAAATCATGGCAACAGTTGCGCGGCTCGCAACCCCGCAGGGAGCCGCGTGGTCTCGGCAGATCTGCGTGGACCTCCCCTCCGCTGGACCTTCCGGGAGCCCGCGAAGATGGCGTCCGTGGCCACTTTGGCTCGAGTCACTTCGGCCCAGGACCCTTTGGCTCACGCGCCCCTCTGCCACGTGCTCTGCCCGTCGAAAGAGTCGGGGGTGGACAAACCTCCTACCCTGACACGTCGATTAGTGAATTGTCCGTTTTCGGTTCTCGAGAGGGCGCCACGGCCGTCATTTTCCAGGCTTGCGCCCGCCAGGTTTGGGCCCGAGGTCGTTTTCACTAAACCACGTTTTACTAAACGGAGGTCTGTCCATCCCCGAAAGAGAGATGGCCCGCTCCGCCCTCGCCGCCGCCTGCGTGCTCGCGGCCCTCGCCTGCGCCGCCTGCCGCTGCGCCCGCGCCTTCGTGCCCACGCCGCAGGGCCCCGCCCTGCGCGGCGAGGCGCTGGCAGCTGCGGGCCTCCTCGCGGCCGCCACGCCCGAGGCCGCCAGCGCATTCACGTACAACGGCAAGGAGTACTTCGACGTCTTCTACGGCATCAGCCCCCTGTACTGGGGCATGTGCGCGTTCGGGATCGTCTTCTACGGCGCCGTGCTGAAGAACGCCATGCTCAAGTACAACACGCCGTACGGCACCACTACCAACCCGGACGCCAAGCCGGTGGTCACCGGCAAGTTCGTGGGCATGGAGGTGGAGACCGGGCAGACGGACAACTACAACCTCAAGGGCAAGGATCGATTACACGTAAGAGTGACCCTTCGCCGGAGTGACCTTGGGTGCGGGCTCACGGGAGTCCCCCAGATCGCCGAGCGCGATGCGGTGGTGGTTGCTTACGCGCTTGTATTTAGCCAACTCGCGCCCCCTTGTCAGGAGGGAAGAAAACACACAGACACAATGAATCGTCGATTCCCCAGAAAATATGGGAAAACATGGGAAGTGGTGGGGAAGACAAAAACCAGAAAACATGGGAAAATGTGGGGAACCCTTTTACTTAATCGCTTCGCTCATTCCGCCGGCCCTGGAGCGCTATTTGGGGCCTCTTGGGGCCGTCTTGGGGGCTTCTTGGGGGCTTCTTGGGAGCGTCTTGGGGCTCCTTGGCAGCGTGTTGGGCTCCCCTGGGGCCTCTTGGGGGGCTCTTGGGGGCCCCTTGGGGCGGGGGGGGGGGGTAGTCGTTGGCAGCCCCCCCCCTCGGAGGCCACGATCCTCGTGAGGGGTGGCGAAAAATAGCCTCCCCCCTGGGGATCGCCCGGGGGTCAGCCGGGGATCGGCCGGGGTACTTTTCGTCCGGGGCCCCCCAGGGGCCGCCCCGCGCGCGCGAATTAGAAATATTGTTGAGCAATTACCGGAGATCTTAGCACGCCTCTGGCCCGTTGGGCCGGCGATTTTGTTTGTATTTGTGTGTGTGTGTCTGTGTCTCTGTGTCTCTGTGTCTCTGTGTCTCTGTGTCTTTGTGTCTCTGTGTCTCTGTCTGTGTCTCTGTCTGTGTCTCTGTGTGTGTCTCTGTGTGTGTCTCTGTGTGTGTCTCTGTGTGTGTCTCTGTGTGTGTCTCTGTGTTGTGTGTGTCTGTGTGTGTGTCTGTGTGTGTGTCTGTGTGTGTGTGTGTCTGTGTGTGTGTCTGTGTGTGTGTCTGTGTGTGTGTCTGTGTGTGTGTCTGTGTGTGTGTCTGTGTGTGTCTGTGTGTGTCTGTGTGTGTGTCTGTGTGTGTGTTTGTGTCTGTGTGTCTGTGTGTCTGTGTCTGTGTGTCTGTGTCTGTGTGTGTGTCTGTGTGTCTGTGTCTGTGTCTGTGTGTCTCTGTCTGTGTGTCTCTCTGTCTCCGTGTCTCTGTGTCTCTGTGTCTCTGTGTCTCTGTGTCTCTGTGTCTCTGTGTCTCTGTGTCTCTGTGTCTCTGTGTCTCTGTGTCTCTGTGTCTCTGTGTCTCTGTGTCTCTGTGGCTGTGTCTCTGTGTCTCTGTGTCTCTGTGTCTCTGTGTCTCTGTGTCTCTGTGTCTCGGTGTTTCTGTGTCTCTGTGTCTCTGTGTCTCTGTGTCTGTGTGTCTGTGTGTCTGTGTGTCTGTGTGTCTGTGTGTCTGTGTGTCTGTGTGTCTGTGTG